AGTGTGACTCACAAGGGCCCTTGGTGTCTGGAGGCACCAGCTGGGCGCAGGCCCTGGATAATGAAGACGGTGCCCGTGACGATGCCCACCAGGCCCACGGCCAGCCCCAGGGCGCAGACCACTGTCTCCGTCAGCTCTGACATGGGGGCTGGAATCTCGGGCTCTGTGGGAGTGAGGTGATGGAGGTCAGAATGCGGAAGGTTGGCTCAGAGCATGTGTGCAAGATGGGGTGGGAGGGGTGGTGTTGGTTCTACAAAGACTTGGCTCCAGGTTTAGGGAGAATAATGAAGTTTACCATTAGAAATCCTTGAAGTGTAGAAAAGAGGTTTGGGCCATGAGATTTAGGAGCTAAAAGGCAGAGTGTCTGACTTGACAGAGAAAAGGCACCAGAAGGCGTGGGGCTCATACCCACCCCAGTGCTTCAGGAGGGGCTGGTCCAGCCCCCAGTGCTCCACCTTGCAGTCATAGATGTCGTCAGCAGAAGGGAGGAAGGTGAGGTAACTGATCTTGAGGAAGGAATGATCCTTCTTGGACAGGAAGCTGGTTTCAGAAACACCCTGTGTGACTGAGTGCCCGTTGTTCAGCCACGAGATGTTGATCACAGGAGGGAAGATGTTGTCCACGGCACAGATGAGGGTGTTGGGCTGGCCCAGCTCCACGGGAGCCTTGGGAAACACAGTCACCTCAGGAACCTCTGTGGTGAGGAAACAGCACTGGGTTTAGAATCGTGGACAGCTCTGCCCTGAGGGTCCCTGCCTCCTGGAGGGACCTCCCACCAACGTTTCCCCATCCGAGAGCAGAGATGCTCTTGTTCCCTCTGCTTGTGAGCCGCTGTACACTGCCCGGCTGTCATCCCCACGCCCTTCTCTCTGTGGGCCCCTTGGTAGGGTAGGACGTCTATGGGACCCATCCTTGAAGGAGTTGAGGATTGCATAGGGGAGCAAGAATCTGTACTTCATGGAAATATGTGATTTGTAGGAAGGGAGAGGATGGGGGTTCAGCAAATACCATGAGAAGATCTGGGACTCCTTGGAAAGGAGAGCATTTTATAGAGTGAAGGGAATCTATCCGAGGCAAGAAGGGAGTGAGGCCTGGTGAAGGGTAGATTCAGTAAAGAGACAGGATGGTGGACACATACTATTGGGAGCAGCGGTAGAGTTGGAGCTTTTAATCAGGATGTCCAGGGTGTGGTTTACAACAGCCATGTTTCTCAGTCCACTCTGTGGGTCAAAACCTCCAAATTCACTTAACCCAGGCAGCCGCCAGACAGTCTTCTTCTTCTTCGGGTCCACGTAGAATATCTCGTCTCCATCAAATTCAAAAGTGTACTGGCCTGAGGGACCATAGGACTGGGAGACACTTATGCCACAAGCAATAATGTGGTCAGCTGATGAGTGAGGTGGGAGCAGGGAGGTGCAAAACACAGAAGAGAAAGGATCTCATTAAACAAAGTGACAAGAAACAGACATGCAAACATTGTGGACTGCTCCTTAGGCACAGCCTGCAGACAATCCCCAGTGCCTGCTCCCTCCCATGGCTGTCCTGTTAGAATCCAGCTGCCTCTCTACTCCCACGTTCATTCCTGTCACAGGAACAGAATTCCACAGGCCTCTTTACTGCTATTCTCTGCCTGCCTAGCTCAGCCCCCGGCACCTCGTGGGCTTAAGATAAATACTGAAATGGTGGAACAAGGAATGAATGAACGACCATGGCCTTAGCTTTCTTTCCCAGAGATTCAGTTTACCTCCCTCTGCTTCATAAGTTTTCTCTGTCAATTTCTTCATCGGTTAATAACACACTCATTGTGGGTCCTCTCCCCTCAGGACTGGCTCAGAACAGAACATGTTCTATGCAAGGATTCCTTCCTCCTTTTATTTATTTTTATTTTTTATTTTTTTAAATATATTTTATTGATTTTTCACAGAGAGGAAGGGAGAGAGATAGAGAGAGTTAGAAACATCGATGAGAGAGAAACATCGATCAGCTGCCTCCTGCACACCCCCCACCGGGGATGTGCCCGAAACCCAGGTACATGCCCTTGACCGGAATCGAACCCGGGACCTCTCAGTCCGCAGGCTGACGCTCTATCCACTGAGCCAAACCGGTTTTGGCTCCTTTTATTTTTTAACCAAGAAAATGCACACCTGATATCATTCGTAAAGAATTGCCTCTATTTTAGGGACTAAGAAAGAGTAGGATAAGGGCAGTGACATCACAAAACACATAAAAGGTAAATAATGCTTCTAAGGTGTCTGGGTTTTTTTTGTTTTTTGTTGTTTTGTTAATCCTCACCTGGAGATATTTTTCCATTGATTTTTTTTTTCTTTTAGAGAGAGTAGGAGGGAGGAAGAAGGGAGAAAAAGAGAGAGAGAAACCTCTCAGATCAATTGGTTGCCTCTCACGGGTGGCTCTGGGGACTGAACCTGCAACTCAGGTACCTGCCCTTGACCTGGAATCAAACCTATGACCTTTCCATGAGCATGTCAACACTCTAACCACTGAGCCACCAGCCAGGGCTAAGGTCTCTGCTTCTGGAACAGGGTGGTCCTTAGAGGAGAGCGCCTGGTTTCCTCTGAAATGAAACTGGAAACTTCATTAGATTTGGATTTCTGTCATTTCCCACCCTCTTCTTTTTTGAAGGACGTTACTAAGCCTCTCCATTTTCTGACTCAACACTTACCTTGTTGGGGACTCAGGGAAAACTCCGGCCCTTCCCTCGAATGGACAGTGGACTTGGTGTGACGCCAAAGCAGAAGGCAGCCAGCGCAGCTGACTCGGCCCAGGGGAGCCTGACTGGACAACTAGTCTGAGCCTTTTACCATTTCCTCTTCCCTCCCTTCCTATTTCCTGACCGTCAGCAAGGTTTCAGACATTGCCAGGAGCAAAGAGTATAACAAGGACCACACTCGGTCTCTGCCAGCAGGAAGCTTAATGAATAGGGGAGTCCGGTGAGTAAGGAGCCAATAGGTATATTGTGCTGAGTCCTCCACAAATACCTCACCTGCCTATCAAACCAGACGTCACCCTTTCATGCTCCTTGGTCTTTACAAGGGTCTGTTTTCCTCCCTCAATTTATCTTCCAGGATTTCCTGGACACCT